TAGTATTAAGTTGTAGAAAACTTAGGCTAAGAATAGACATTATTCAGGACTTTACCCTTGAGAAGAGACCAGTTCTGGAGAAGGGTTGGATAGGGATAAATGCATCATTTTAGGTGGAAGTACGACCTTGTTGATTTTATTTGGAAAGCCAATATGGCTTAAGAAGATGTCAAGGAGACAAAGAGTGGATTTGTGATGGTTAATTTTATGTCATTTTGCCTGGGCTTAGGAAGTCCCAGCTGGTAAAACATTACTTCTGGGTGTATCTGCCTCTAGCAATTGAGTGTGCTTCGATTTGGCTCCTGCCACCAGGATTTACCTGCTCTTGTTGAATTTTAGTTCCCAATTGAGTGGCTAGAGTCTGCACTGAAGGATCGGGCCTACAGAGAAAAGTAACCACAGAGATTTTCCAGGATGCTGGTAAGGTTTCCCAAAGTGTGGATGAAAGGAACCCCAGTTTAAGTGAGAAGGTCTTAAATGTCAAACCCACCTTAGAACTGAATCTCCCTGAGCTTCTGAATCCTCCCCTACACTAAACTAGAGGAGGCAGGAATGTCAGTTTTCTCATATGACCATCTTTTGATTTATCTTTCATCCAACCAACCTACTGAACTGCTAGAACCCTTCCTAATTCCCTCAGATGGAACATTAACTGCAGAGTCTTTGCTTAGTGAGCCCATATCAATGCATTTTGTCTGATGCAACTTTATAATCCTTGTGCTGTAATTACCTCACAATCTTAATATCTTTTCATACTCGTGTTCCTCAGGTTTCTGCTCGTTATAGATGGTATATATACAAGTCATTCTTTTGAAGCATCAGGCACTTCCCCAAGGATCACTTTGCAGGGCTCACCTTTGCAGGGATTTGCATCTAATTCTAGGTCTAGAATCAACATGAGGAGTAAGCCAAAGAAACAGCAGTTTTATACAGCAACTATTTCAGGAGAGGCCACCATTTCCTTAGGCAAGGAGGCTTGATTGATCACCACCACTGTGGTTGAGGGGGCCATTTCTGGGAGGAAGAGAGAAAGGGGAGAGAGGGAAGGGGGGAGGGAGGGAAGCAGGGAGGGATGGAAAAAATTATGGCTCAGAAGTCCCTTGACTTGCCATGTCCAAGCTGGAGAAATAGGTATGCTGGTGGCAGTTCACTCCACACGCAAAGATATGAGCTCCAGGAGCATTGTTGTCCCAGGGCAGAAAATAACGTCAGGACTCAGATCATGACAGAGCAAATCTGCCTTCTGTTTTGGCTGTGTTCAGCCCTTCAGTTCCTCAGGAGGACCATCCCCTGCCTGGATGAGGAGAATCTTCTTTTTTGTTTTTGTTTTGATTTTTTGTTTTGTTTTGTTTTGTTGAGACAAGGTCTCTCTGTAGCCACAGCTGACATGGAACTCATTATATACACCAGACTGGCCTCAATCTCAGAAATCTGCCAGCCTCTGCCTCCCAAGTGCTAGGATTAAAGGTGTGCTCCACCACACCTGGCTCTAGGACAATCTTTTTAATCTACCAAGTCAAGTGCAAATCACCCCTGGAAGCACCTTCAAGGCACACCCCAAAGTAAATGAACTGATGCATAAAATTAACCATACCAATTTGGGGTAAATCTCTAGCATAGATGACTGTAAGACTAAAAGAACTTTCCAGCAGCTTCTGGCTCTGCACATTTCAAATCCCGCTTCTCTGTCATTTCCTGCATGCTTCCTGTACCAAGAGCCATAGGACATGCTCCCATCACATCACCACAGGAGACAAGAATCTCCCAGGAAACCATTCCTCCTCCAGTAACTGTAACATGCATGAAGGTGACCTAGAGCCACTCTCATGAAATATATGTGCATATATAGTGTCCCACACAATGCCATCCTGTTCCTCACACACAATGCAATTCTGGTTCAAGTTTCTCTAGGCTGAATCCTAAAAAGGCTTCCAGTGCCACCTAATGGGAGGGAAAATGTGACAGAGAGGAAGTCGGGGTGAAAAGAAACAACGGCCTTTAATGACCTTGCTTGGAATAACACTTCTGTAAATTTTATAAAAAAACACAGGCCTTGTTGAAAGTATTGCCAGGGCCCCTCCAGTCTCGGAAGGGGCACATGAGAGGCCCAGCAAAGTAAAGCTCTGAGAAAGGGCATAGTCCTTAGAGATGAAAGAGACCCAAAGAAGGGTAATTACTAAGGTGGGGACCTCAGAGCTGCAGCCTCTGGCACAATTATCTTAACAAGGTAAATTAGCCCCAGATAAACCTGCACCTAATAAACCCGTGTTGCTTGTGCCTGGAGCTCTCACATGGAAGGAGGACTTCAAAGCCTCAGGCCGGGTCAACAGAGGTGGTTATGTCCCCCATGGGTGCAAGGCCTGTGTGTGGGTGCAGGGGGCTGGCATCTCACCTTACCCAAAGCCCCAGGAACTCATATACAGAACACCCATAGACTTATATATACACCTTTACCTATCCTTAAGCCCCACTCCCAGCGCACAGCTGATGAAACATGCATGCGTGTGTACACACACACACACACACACACACACACACACACACACTCTCTCTCTCTCTCTCTATACCCATGGAGGCCAGAAGAGGGCAATGGATCCCCCTGGAGCTGCAGTTATAGATGGTTGTGAACTGCCCCATGTGGGTGCTGGGAACTGAACTCAGGTCCTTTGGAACAGCAGCAAGTGCTCTTAACTACTGAGCCATCTTTCCAGCCCCTACACTCCATACTCTTAAGAGTAATTCCAACAGACAGAAGCAGATCTTGCTGCTTGTTGGAGAACAGGCCTGAGCAGGGGACGATTCCTCTGTGGGGAGGAGGTGGCTGAGCTAAGGAAAGGGAGAACGCAGTCTTCTCCTGTTTCCCACGCTCAGGCTGGGGGCCATCGTGGGGAGCCAGCTGCTGCCTTCTTTATACTCACACCAGTTCTGGGCTCCAAGGGTCTGAGATGAGATGCTTCTTCCATCATCTTCTCCTTTCATTCATCAGTTCTTCTGCCATCTCTCACACAAGAGAGAGACTTGATCCTCAGTGGAACTGTATCAAAAGATGGTGGAACATTGGGGGCTGGAGAGATGGCTCAGCAGTTAAGAACACTGGCTGTTCTTGCAGAAGACACAGGTTCGAAGACCCGGCAACTAACAACTGTCCTTAACTCCAGTTCTAGGGGATCCAACAGCCTCTTCTGTCCTCTGTGGGCATTGCAGGACACAGGTGCACTTACCTACATGCAGACAATACATGCATACACATAAAATAAAAATGATAAATTTTTTAAAAAGATCGTGGAACATTTAAGAGCAAAGTAATTAGGTCATGAGTAATTAGGTCACCACCCTCAGAAGGAATTAATGCCCACCTTAGGAGAGAGGGTTAGGTCTCACGGGAGCAGATTAGTTATGTGTACAACACTCACCACCCTTGCTTGTTCCTCCACCACGTGATGCCATCCACATATTATAACAGCAGAATGCCCTCATCAGAATCCAAACAGATTGAGTTTGAGATTGAGCCTCCAAAACTGTAAGCTAAATAAATCTCTTTTCTTTATCATTTATCCCACCTCAGGCATTTTGTGAAAACAACACAAAACAGACTAAATTGGAGGCAGAAGAGGCTCAGTGGTTAAAAGCACATACTACTTACGGAAGACCTGAGTTCGGTTCCTAGCCCCATGTCAGACAGCTCATAACTGCCTGTAACTTCAGCTCCTAGGAATCCAGTACTCTCTTCTGGACCCAGCAGGCACCTGTACTCACATGTGCACATGTCTGTGTACAGACACAGACATATCAGACAGGTAAAAATAAAAATAAATCTTTTTTAAAAAGAAAAAAAAAGCAGACTAAGATATATTCTAAGAAACAAACAAGCCTGGACCAGACAGTAGGAAAGATGTCCAATTAGCATCTGAGCTCTATGTTCATCGCTATTGTGGCCTGAGTCCAGACCTTGCCAACCCCACATGGTGCTGGGGTGATGTCAACACTGACCCCAGCCTCCACCGAATGCATGGGAGACAGCGGGGCGGGGGCGGGGGGCACATGGGAGAAGTGTACAGTTCCTGACTTTCCAATGTCTGCAGGTTGGCTGAAGTTTTTCTCTTCCTCTCTCTGGCCCTGGGGACCAGAAACCTGCCCCTCAGTCCTGGCTTCTCTCTTCCAGGGCAGCATTACTTCCAGGCTTGCCAAGGTGATGAATAGGCAAAGAGGTTCAAAGAATATCAGCTGGGAGTCAAGGCCCTGGGTTCACAGTGTGGGTCAGAAGAGTTTGGAGTTAGAGAAGATTCTGTCCTGAGCATCACTAGCTGGGTAGGGGAGGGTCTCAGCCTCCTGAGTAACCAGAGCTGTGAGCCCCAGACCAGCCAGAGTTGCCTGGGACTGCGCCAGGGCTTTGAGGCTCTTCCGCTCAGGAAAACCCTATTCTCTGTCCTGAGCTAGAGGGAGAAGGAAAACAGGAAACACATGTTCTTAAGAGGAGACTGAGCACCCAGACTCAAGAGGCCCTCCAGGGAGAGTCTGCACCCTGAACCAGAGTTTCTCACCCCTCCTGTGGACCTGCCCTGACCAGCCCTGAGGGAGAGATACATTTGTCAAGCTTATACAAAAACCCAAACCCTACCAAACATTGGTAGGCTGGATGTCTGTGTTGTTACAAATTCCTGTGCCACTTTGAACAAGGAGCTCAGCCTCTCAGGCCCCTGCTTCCTCCTCCCTTGAAATAGAGGTAACTGTCCCTTCTTTCCTTTCTGCCTCACCTAATTTGCTGGCTTTGGAACTGTGAAGGACCACATGTGTAGAAACACAATTGGAAATACCAAAGAGACACATCCCTCCCCTTCCTGCAAGCTGGAACTTCCTGGAGGCCTCCTCTGACTGCCCCAAAGAAGGAGAGTGACTCACCATGACAGCCCCTCCAGCACTGGCATTCATCCTCTGCTTGTTCCTCTGTGAGGGGCCTGACACATTCTCACATCACTGGTGCCTGGTCTCAGTGTCACAAACTCATGAGTACCAACAGGCTTATTATTTTTTGTGTTCTCCCAACTATCAGCAAGTGTGTAAGAAGCGCTGGCTGGAGGTGCAGAACCTGGGTCAGAGCTTGTCGCAACGTGCCTCAACCCCACCCACACCTCTTCTTTTGATCCAGTCCTGACTGGTGAGGACTTGGGATTTGACCAGCAGGGTAGCTGGGCACAGGTAATCGGGCACAGGGGAGCACAGCCCAGAGGAATGCTCTGAGGTCTCTCTAAGCTGACTGTGGCCTGGGCAAGGGGACTCAGGAAGCCTTTGCTGGTCTTTCCTTGAGTTGCTCACAGATCCAACCACATGTCTGGCTTGCCTGCTGTGCTGTGTCTCTGGGGGACCTGTACCTGGGTGGATTCTAAGGACTCTGAGGAGGAAGAGGCTTGGGAAACATACCTAGGCTACCTCAGGTACTGAGATCATGTTGTATACTGGGCAGTCTTTGAGAGGGTCCACCTGTACCACCCATTTTCCCTCAGAACCATCCGTGGTTTTTCCTTCTGCTCCACTGTAGAAGGCCTATCAGAGCCTAGCCTTGGAATGGTGACTTGCAAGCAGTTTAAAGAAGGCCGTGGGCTCAGCTCTTCCTATGGAGTGGGAGCTGCTGATAGCAGTCCCCGTCCTTGAGATCCGGTTGCCAGTTCTGGCCACTGGGTTAAAGATGGAGCTGTGAGCCTAGTCCTCACTGAGGGAATATAAGTGGTAGATGTTAGCATGCAGGCCAAGGTAGTTAGATGAGCTTGTGTCTCCAGCTATGGAAATTTGGGGATCTATTTGTTTCATCAGTATAGCATTACCCCAATTACATTATGGGGGCTAGACAACAAGGAGGAAATGGCTCAACACTTCTTGTCTTTTGGCTAGCTTCAACATAGTATATGAACTGCGGTCGGGCCTACTCTCTCAGGCTTGCTGTCATGAGAATGAACATGTTTGCATCCTTTCACAATGTCAGAATTTATTGAATAAAAATAAATTCACAAACTACAGCAGTTAAATTGGTAACATTTTGCCAAGTAGTCCCACTTTCTTTGACAGTCCTGGCCAAAGCAAACACAAGTTTGTTTTTTCCATTCTAAATTACTAACATTACCTCTCAGATGATACATCACACAGTTCATATATATGCACATATATTCACATATATGACTAAAGAGGCCAAAGCAGAACTCAAGAGATTTCAAAAGAGGGCAGATCTGGGTCTAGGTGGATGAGTAGACAGCATGTCCAGATGGATAAACAGAATGATAGGTAGATGGCAACTCCAGTAGGCTGTATGACTAGCAGGGATCAAGCCAAGCTAAAGCTCCAGGGACAGTTGGGAGTTCTCTGCCTGTTGGTTCCTTGACTTACACACATTGCACACACTGGTGGTCAGATGACAGGTCAAATGGGACTGTTGTTATTACAGTCTTAAGTGTCCTTCTCTTTATGGGTCTAGATAAGGGAAGTTGCATACTTTCCTCAGTCTGATGTGTCCAATAAGTCTTTGGGCCTGGTTTTCCTAACATGATTTTAATACACCCATGTGCTCCTACAGTCCCAATTTGTAGGGTGGAACATTTCCATTCCCAGGAATAAGTCATTTATCAGTCTGTGTTACGGTGGTGTCAGACAGATAGTGCTGTTTAAGTGTCTACCAAGATGCAGAATCATTCTTCATCTTCAAAATGGAGTTGAAAACTGCTTGTAAAACGGAGTCTCTCAGGGCAAGGTATAGTCTGAAAATTCATTATTTTATACAATACAGAGTAACTTAGGCATGGCACAGCCTGATCTCAACACTTGCCCATGGAAGGACCCCAGTAGGGGGAAGCTTCAAGCTTGAGCACTGGGTGAGGAACTGTCCTTGCCTTTCTTCCCCTTCCCATTCTGATCCCAGTCTCCAACTCAATCTGCCAGAGCTGGCCTATCTAGCATGGCCTGACTAAACACTTTCCTAAACTCTTAGCACCATTTCCTATGGCCTCTCCATTGTGCCCTGGAGCTCCTCAAGATCATAGTCACCTTCCCAGGTCCTGCTCCTTCCCAGAGGCCACTGAGCTCTGTGACAGTACAGAGGCCAGGTGGGGCCTGCTTACAGCAGGCTTAGAGTGGAGCTGAAAGCCTGTGCTAAGGACTTTCTGTGCCAAGTCCATTTGATCCCCACAAGGAACCAGTGGTACAGACCCTGGATCACCACCAGCCTGATTCGGCAACTGGGTGTCATGATTCCCATTTTACAGATAAAACCCAGGCACAGGGAGAGATCTCATGTACTCAGGAGCACATTCTAGGACCAGGCCTAGAATCGAAACCATGTAGACTCTGAAGCTTGTGCTCTGAAGTCACGATGTCACATTGCCTCAAAACCAGAAGGGTTCAATGAATGTGTTCAATAAAACAACGAAACAGACGGATTCCCAGTGGTCAAACAAGGCCTCTCTGAGTTGATAGTGCGAAGTGGCTTTGCGGTATTCTGAGGAGGCTTTCTGGAGAGGGTAGCAGCTAGGGCCCTAAGGGTCACATGATCTCACAGACCTGTCTTACCTTTCAAGGTCC